GCGACTGCAAGGGCCAGCGGCAGGTGCTGGGGGGCAGCAGTGGCTACGTCAGTGACGGCCCCGGCAACTACTCTGTCAACGGCAACTGCGAGTGGCTCATTGAAGGTGGGGGCGCTGCGCCGTGCCGCGCCGCATCGTCCTTAGGATTCAGGGTTAATGCTGGGCGGTGGGCTGGTCGTCATTAGGCGTCAGAGTCAACAGGGGTCGGGAGCAAAGGCTTTGTTCTTTGTGCTCAGGTTCCTTTCACAGCACTGGCGGTTGGGTTGTCATTAGGCTTCAGAGTGAACACTAGGAGAAATTAAAGCTAGCGCCCATAGCTAAAGTAGATAATCACTGTAATCACTAAGCTCCAGGGTCAACCGGGGGCTGATAGCTACAGAATCAGCTTGGGCTGGAAGCGCTGTTGTCGCCACTAGCATTTAGAGTCCAGGGGCCTCGCAGCCCCATTGCCCTCAGATCCCAGCGGCAGCGCGGAGCACCGCTGTCGTTGTTAGGTTTCAGCGTCAACACTGCTTTCAGCGCTGGTTCTGGGCTCAGCTGCTGCCCCGTGGGGGTGGGGGGGTGTCAGGTGAGAGCTGGGGGTGTTCCCTCGCAGGTCCTGACCCCACTCCCCCCCGCTAGCCCCCAGCCTGCAGCACCGCATCCTGCTGACGTTCACATTCATGGACACGGAGTGCACCTATGACTACCTCTTCGTCTACGACGGCGACTCGCCGCGCAGCCCCCTGCTGGCCAGCCTCAGTGGCAGCACCCTGCCTCCCCCCATTGAAGCCACGTCCGGCAAGGTACCAGCCCTGCATCCCAGTGCAGGAGATGGGGGGGGGTGTTTGGGGGGGCTCTAGGGTGACCATGGACCATATCATATCAGAGGGAGTATGGGGGGCTGTGAATGAAGGGGTTGGGGGTCTGGGGGGTGCAGGTTTCATGGCTATGGGGCTGGGGGGGCAGTGAACTCAGGGGCATGGGGTATTGGGGGGGCCAGGGGCATGGGCTGACCTGCCTC